ATAAGCTTTCGAAGATGAGTTGTTTGCCTCACTAGTCTCGACATGGTGCGGATTACATAAAATCCGCAATAGCTTTTGTATGCAGCCGCTGCTTCCTCAGATTGAGAAGTCGCAGCTACGATGATTTGGTCACGTGTTGCGAATATCTCCAAAAAGGAAGACTAAGCAGCTACTGCTTGCCCAGCCTTCCGACCGATAACCTATAGAAAGCTAAGATTGGGCTTAGGTAGTTGTTTCGGCCGAAAGTCAGACGCTCTGACAGGATCGGCACCGTTGGACTTAGCGACGGACGTGTTTGCCTCGGCGACCCGATAGGAAAAGAGATCATTAAAAGTGAGGCAAAGTTATAAATATGCAGGTTAAAGTCTGGCGCTGATTCTTCTCTGACTTTAAATCGATATATTTTTGCAGATATGAGGCAGCTAGTTGGGTGATAATCATTTGTGCCACGATGATGCTGCGACGTACGTAGCGAAACATGCTGGCAATAAAATGTAAACATCTGTGTTGTTTCGTGCCCGTATCCATGAGTCTGCGAACCGTCGAAAATTTCAGGACCAGGCACAGAATCGGCAACGTTATGTGATATTTAGTTATCCATCCAAATACTTTATTATTTGAAGTTAAATAATAATGAATGATTTATGCACGAAAGTTATTCCCAATGTTCTAGGCTAGCTGTCACACCTTGTTTGTTACTTCCACCAATACTGATTACATTTCAAGTGAAGTTTCATTCAGATTTTGTGTCTGAGATTGATATGTTAATAATTGATTTCGTTCTTGTTTCTGTTGCATGATGTGAATACAAAACATGGGGTAAAGGTATTTGCTAGTCTTGTACATTCAAGACGCTCAGGCTCAGTGAGTGTTCTTTTCTAGCATTTGTTGATATCCTTCATTGACATTACCTAATGGTCTCCTTGAACACTACCGTAGTTCTATTTTCAGGGGACATCAAGCATTGCTCAAATACTTAATCAAAGTAGTGAGATTAATAAGATCGGTAGCCGTTACTCCATCCGTCCTCACGTAGGTCAGATGCTTCAGACCTTCAAGACGTCGTTTTTCGGACTGTGTTTGATCATAAATGACCAATACGGCGAAGGCTGAACAGTGGCACGAAGCAAGGAAGTGAAATCAGAAAAAAACAGCAACTGATCACCCCATTCATTTTTTGTTTCGCTTTTCGTTTGAGGGAAACGTTTTATCCATTGAAGTGTCGATCTCTCTTATACCTCCATGAATGGTAACCATTCATAACTCCTCTTTCTTTTGATGACCCCTATGGTACAGCACCGATCTTGGCTTCTATGTCGTTATTTAACAGTGCATTATTTTGAAGGCAATGTCCCCGTCGACAACCATGTGACACTACAACGTGTTACCTCCTGCTTTATTTCGCCCAAAGTGACGTCTATTTTCATTTAAATCGAACTTTATAAACATCCAGCCACGCCGCCTGTGGGCTGGGGTTTCCTACTGGGTGGTGGTGGCTGGGGTTTCGGAAAACAAAGACTGACTTCGGGTTTGTGCAAATCAAAGCATTTGAGGCACAAACTTAATCCTCAAAAGTCTTTTACCTTGAGGCTTGGTTGGTGACCAATTCTTCACACCGATGCTAGCACGAACGAGAGTCGGGGCAATGCTTTCTAGCCAGGCTGGGAT